CTGGTAGGTTTTTCTGTTTTCACTGTCTTATTGTTCATAGTTTTTGTTTCAGAGTGGGTTGGGGTTTGTTTTCTTTTTTGGAATTAACTGGAGGGTGGGGCTGGGGCTGGAAACAGTTTGTGAGAGGGATAGAAGAGGCAAGGTGACACAATATGGGTCAAGTGAAAAGTATGCTTTGGGGGGTAGGTGAAAGGCTGTCTGGCAAGGATACTAGAAGAGAGAGAATGGGATAGAAAGAAAGTGGACAGAGCGGGTGGTGGAGGGAGAAATGAAGATGAGAGTGAGAGAGAGGCAGGAGGTGGGAGAGGTAGCCAGAATGAGCACTCCAATTATGGTTGGGGAGATTGGTGGAGAGGGGGATGGGGGTGTCATAGGCCATGGACAGTTTCCCGGCTCGGCGACAATAAAGTCGTGGATGGGAATCTGCCGGCTCAGAGCATGTGGTCGACTTGACAAATAATTGAAGAGGTGCGTGAGACAAAGCTAAGGCGGGTCGCCGGGTCGGAGTGAGAACATACGATCTAATCTCTGTCTCCAACAGTGCACGTTAGCGAACCTATCAACTCTGCTAAACGCCAAATTCCCACAAGTACCATTTCGAATGTCTAAAATAGTATGACTTAATTGAGTGATCAAACTCTCAGCTAATATTTTATAGTTTCACAACTGCAAGGCCTCAGTTCAGTTCCCTTTTAAAAGACTAAGACATGTATTAGTGTACACCTTCAATTGAACTAACGTCCACATTAGCTGTATCAGCATTCTAGTCAACATTGTGCAGTGAGAGTTGTAAAATACCTTTCTCAGGAGAAAAAGAAATGAATATTTTTATATAGCTATTTGGCTTCTGGGTTATGAAAGGTAGACGTAAGAACGTTTTTGTAATCGTCGTTCATTTAATATATTCAGTGGCTGTGTTCACAGAACAACTACTTCACCAAAAAGATCAATGTACGCGGTGGTTGGGGGGAGAGTGTTTGTTTTGTTTAATTTTTGTTTTTGTATTTCTGTTTGTTTTTTATATTACTATGTATCATATTTTTCATAATAGCACTTGCATTGTTAATGAGGCACCAAAGTAATTAGAAGTTATCACACTGCAGTGGGTCAAATTTAAACCATTCCATAACGTCAGAAAGATCTACATTGCTCAGGTCTGATAGCTAGATTTCTTTTTACGTCGAATTTGTTTATTTTCAAGTATTTTATCCTAACCTAGTCCAATCTCCCCTCTTCAAAACACACGCACACACATGCACACACACACACACACAAACACACACACACAC